GTTGGTAAGAAACCTTAGGTATCAGAACGAGCTTAAAGGCAGATATTCAGTGTTCCGCCGCTAAACTGGTATACGACACGACATTGCATCTGTCTGAGGAATTTTTCAAACCGTGGAGCAGTGATAAATTCAATAAATCAAACTACATTCAACGATTGACTGAATTCATGCGAGCACTGCTTCCGGTTTCAACTCGAGTACAAAATCGAGAGGTCGCCCTCCCTTGAGAGCTATCTACCTGTTCGCATGTTTTCATATGAGTCGATTCGGTACGCAAACCTTTGCAACAGCGTTACGAGGGACCTTTTCACGTGATTTCTCGTCATGAAAAGACCTTCAAGGTTGCTCGACATGGCCGCGTCGAAGTAGTCAGCAATGATAGTCTCAAGCCAGCACACGTCGATAACAGTGCCCCTTGCTAATCCGAGACCCAATGCTAGACCCACCAAACCTACTAGCGGGATACTTAGAGCTACTTAGAGGCCCACGCTAGACAAATCAGAGACCTCATTCTCACGTCCTAGTCGACAGTACGCGTCACCTACACTATCTATGGATGAGTTTCCTGGCTCATGTCCGAATCAGCAGACCACGCCATCCTTGACTTCAGATGAGATTGAAGGCTCACAAGGTACGCATGAGACTGCCGTCTCGCGTTCAGGTCGCCGAGTACGTCTGTCTGTACGTTTTCGTGACTAACCATGTAGGCAACAACGGATACGCGAAAGGACACTGTCCTCATACTACATGCTACACATTTCTCTTTTTCGCTCATTTTGTATCCTGAGCCCATGTCTACGGCCATCACCCTGTTGGTACCGTCGACCTCAGTCAGTCTTCGTGAAAGCTGGCCCGGTCACCCACACTCTTGTCAATGCACTCAGTCGATGTTCTAGTTCCGAAAATTTTTGTCATACCTGTGGTTTCGAACTAGGTCGTTTTGGTTGTTTCTGGCTCCTTCTTTCAATCTGGTTCCATCCAATGTCTTCGGCGTTCTCTGATCCAGCTCCCTACGAAAGCAATCTTCAGACTCTGGATGCGAGCCAAGCTGGTGTGGTACACTAATCGAAAGTGAAAAACCCTTTCTAGGGTGGTGCTAATGTAGTGGTATGGTTTTAAGATGAGAACACAATTGCTGAAATGGAAACAATAATTATCGCAAACAATTTTAGTGGAACACTTCCACGAAGAAAACGCGATTGGTGAAAAGAAACACTTATTATTGTACTCGTTTTGTTTATCTGTACTAAAAACACTGACTTACGCGTCACGTCTTTTTTCGCGTTGCTGCCATCCTTCATAACCTGCTGCTCACTGTATTGCTCACTATCTCCTTCAAATGTATTCTTTAGCCTTGATTTATCTGTACCTAATTTGACGGGATAGTAATTAGTGTTAAGTGGTGATCATAGTCACTCTCTACTCGGTCACCACTAAACAATTATAACCATAACTATTCTGTTGTACTCCTTTTTGTTCAGCTGTACTAAAGACCAAAACTCGCGCGTCAAGCGTGTATCCTCCATTGCTCGTTTATTCTTGGTGGTTGTTAGCTGCTGCTTTATTCCGGTCTTGATATCATTTCGATATAACTGGACCACGAATCAATACACCTTGTCATCTACCCACAGTCTTCCTTTTGATTTCTGGATTTAACGGGATTTTACTTGGCAATCTTGCAACAAGCAGTCACAATCTCATTACAAACTCCTGACCTCCAAACTGTCGAGTCAGAACCCGGTAGTTCATATGTCAAAATAAATAAATGGAGCATCAACAGGTTTCGAACCAGTGTTATACAAATTCAAAATTTTTGGTATTGAAGTAATAGTGACGTGCATATTTAAGAATTTTTATAACTACAAAGTAAAAATGATGTCTTTTATTTTTTATGTAATCATAATTATATACAACATCCGTTATCTAATCGTATCAATTGTGAACGGATATTAATTGCTGCTGACTTCTTGTTCGATGCGAGACATAGAACACCAAGTAGAACTCAATAGCTTCTTTTAAACATTTAACATGAGCCTAACAACACAAAAGGAGGGAGGGTGGAGTTACTGACCAGCAAACATTGATGGTATGGGCGATAACTTCAAACAACCCATGTTTGTGGGGCAGAACATTTTGTTTGCTTTCGGCTCTTTAGATTGATGAGACGACTAATCAGTAACACTGAGGTTGCTCTTATACGCTTGCTACTTTTGTGGTTCATGTTTCCAAAACTATGCTGAGGTAGCTATTCTGTCGAGACACCTGCAACATTCTTACTCAGGCGCTTACAGTATGACTTAGAGGTTGGCATTCAATAATAAAGAAAAAAAAACAGTTAGACAGTACGAGATTTTATTCGTCAAATATTTATTTTTACAAACTCTACTCTTTTAACTAGAATTTCGATTTCAACGTACATAAATCCAGCTTCTTACTTCGACTTCTCTTCTATCCACCTGACACTGCACAACTCTCCCTTCTTTTTGCTGTACTCCTTTATCTGTGTGTTATATTCTTATATTCCCATAATTTACTTTAATTTAAGTGGTCAGTATGAATGTTATCTTGACTTACTACTGTATTGACTACTTTAACATGACAGGTTAAGTAGTGCTTTGGTTATATATATATACACTTGCCACACTGCTGCCTTTTCCTCTCTCTCTCTTCTCCTTTTCAGAACCCCATTCACGGTGGGAAATCCTTGGCAACTCTAGGGAACATGCACCCAATGTACATGACTGTCTGGATCACAGCTCGTATCAAGCGCGTTCCATATGACCTTTCCCAACAAATTCACTATTGATCTCGGCCAATCGCCAAAAGAACCTATTGTGCACCTTCCTCATTTGTACTCTAATATTGAAAATGTGGCTGTATAATACTGTTTCTGTCAGTGATATGGTGTAAATATGCAATCAGAAACTGTCTCTTATACTTAATTTAACTGCTATAACTTTTACAGTAATTGTAAAAGCATTTGTGACAATTTGATCTAGCCTGTAAACTGGCGTGACTCTTGTAACTTAGTTATTTGAGAATAAATTATTATTATTATTATTATTATTATATAATTCCCACTATGACGGAGTTTTGAAGAAATTTTTTTATGTTAGAGTTGAATGACAAAAAACAGGTCTACAAACCATTTAAGTCCGGGTCTTAAACGCTATCCTGAACCTTTTATCGGAAAGAAGAAGACGGGACAGACCAGATTAAATAGGTATATTTGCTGAATACTTCGTGGTATAAAAGAAATACCTAAACATGCCGAAGAATGGAGCGAAGGTACAGAGCAATAAAAACAAGATGGCGACTGGAAAGAGGAGAGTAGGAGACCGTGGTGTAATATCAGTACATATCTATAGGTACAAAGGTCAGTGTATAAAACGAAAGTACCAATAAACAAGTGTTCGGTAGAAAGTTCACTGGTACATTTGGGTATAATAATGAGTGTTGCTATTTAACCAGTCGTGTTTTTCTTTGTAAAGGTGAAATCATTACACAGTTTTGATACGAGAATGTTGGAGTGACTGTGTGGGTGCAAAAAGTCTGTTATTGGGTTGAATCCGGCTGGTAAAAGGTACCAGTGGTGATGCGGACGTAGTTGTAACATTAATAAGTTGTGTACACTAAAAGTTTCGTTGGTCTAACTCTGTCATCTTAATTGTCTGTAATTCGAGAGGAAAGTCTGTTTCACCCATCTACTCCGTAAATTTTTCTGCTTTATTGCCGATGGTCTTTACGAAATCTGAATAGGACGAGTGGAAGCAAGTCAGTCTATTTCAATATATTTACAGTCAATAAGTAATTCTTCCGGCTGCCATTACCCAGAGATTCATTGATTTAAGTGCAGTACTCAGGTGTCGGAAACCGAGTGGTTTCCACGAGTCTGGCACAATGTGAAGGATTACAGATTCTGTATGACAGATGTTTTCATTTCCAGACATTCTACAGTTGTACGGATAATGTTCTTGGTTTACTGATCACATCTGCTTCAGATCCCCCATGATTACTGATGATGCTGACCAATTACGTGGTGTCTCCCACTATCGATTGTGATTTGGTCTATACTCACTGTGTAGTACTTAAGGGTTCGGGCTATTACCCTGTGAATCCTGAAGCCATATCCATTGTCTCTTTGGAGTTTAGTATTTAGGTGTTTCATAAGTACCTTCTCTGCCATCTTTAACATCCATTAAGGGTGCGCAGTGTTGGTTGAGGTTTATTGAAATAATTGTTTCATTTTTTCGAGATTTCGGTCATGAGGATTTCCCATCTTCAAAATTTTTTGGGCTTCTTTGGGGAATCTGTGGCATATGTTGGGTACTTTTCTTTCTCATGACCAGAACACAATGGAAGCTTTGGATTTCATCTATCCAGATTATGTCCAATGAGTTCCCTCTATTCTAAGCAAAGCTAGGCTGCATCTTATTTCTTCGATTATTTGGGATACCACCGGAAACTTTCAGATCGCCAAAACATTCCACGTTTCTCCGAATGTTGTTTCTGTGGTTAAGCGTGATTTGAACAGCCTCGTACCCACGAAGACTCTTGTACTCCAGAGGTAGAGTATAAATAGTTTAAAAAAGTTTTTCGGATTTTTTTTATTTACCATGTTCTACTCACGATGTCGGTTTTTGAGGCTTACTAGTGAAGCTCTTCATTTACCCGAGCTCAAGACGGACTGTAACACTAGAGGGGACCCGTTTGAGGTTCCTGGCTTGTAGGTTCTCAAACAGTTAATTTTAATCTTTGAATATATAAATCATGAAGCGTTACTTTACGTCGAATTATTTTCACTGAATAAAAGTAGGTTACGCCCATCTAGTACAAGACATTGTAAAATGTTGGTTCGTCATTTTGAATATTATGCTTCCGGAATGAATATCACAGTAAGATATTCAGTATTGCAATAATAATATAGGTGACATGGATTAGATTAGTATTGTTAATAATTGAGAAAAGTTTAGCTTCCTGTTAATACATTAATTCTTCGCACACTAATGAATACTGACCTTGACGTTGTGTCCAAAATGTGCAGTTTGTGATAGATGTAGATCGTCATGTTCTTCGCTCCTAGTTTTGGCCTTCTAGATTCTCTCAATCTCAAGCTTTTATGGTTACTGATTTTTGTTAATTACTGCCCTAATAAATATAACTGGATTCTATGCTCTTCCTGGGTGATGGGTTGACCTCCTTTTTTAAAGCTAACCCAGCTCACGTTGCTGTGCATGCTCCTCTAGTCCAAAGGGCACTTTATAGATAGGCGTAAACCTCTAGAAATGTTTCTAAGATTTTTGCTAAGCTCGGTGAGACTAAAACATCTCTGGATTTTAGTCTTAGCATACATTATTTCGTTCATTTTAATAGATCATCACAGCTACTCACTGATGCCTATTTGGGCTTTACCTCTTAAAACTAACGGACATGTTCAATCTGAGTCAGATTCCAATTGTAAGAACTTAATTAGTGCCGTTGTTGAATATTTATCATATAAGTGGAACACTTACTTATCGGTTGCTATTCCCCAGTCAAATAATAGTTCTTCATCTGATCTGATCGTTTTTCAACTTCCGACGTTTAAGTCTCTTCAGTTTTCCGTCTTGGATCCTTACCGTAAATTAGCTAAATTTATAAGTTTTCAAAAAATCCAGTCCAACAATTTTGATCGCCAACCGATCAAATTGAAATCCTTTTTTTATAAGGGGAGTTTGGTAGGTTGTAATTTTGTTGTTTGTTATGCACTTTTCTGAGTTTAGATCCATGTAGTTGTAGAGTATCGCAAAACTAGCTCTCAAGTGAACACATCTATCGTATTTGAGATCGCCGTATATGATAGTCAGCACAGTGAAATATGGAGAAAAGCCCTGTACCGAATTCTAACGAATGAGACTGTGTTAGATCTCAAATCAGTCCCTATTTCTATATCATTTGATTTAACATGCGGTTTGGTTCATCCTAGACTGTGTGGAGTAATTTTTGTTGGTTTCCTGAATAATAAGTAAGTTCTGTCAGTTACTTGCGTGGTCTTGTGTTCGTTGGTAAGGTACTATAGAAGAACCAGATTTTTAATTTTTTTATTTTACTGAACTATGTGCAGAGATTTACAAGATAATCTTCTCAGTACATCATAACAAAAGAGCTACATTTCCGAAGCCCCACGTGATAGTTTCTGGATAGTGTAGTCTCATTACAATATAAGTTTCGTTAGGATTCGTAAATCGTACGAATTTTCTATATGAATCTCAACCAGGAATTCGCTATTAGGAAAAAAACGTTAAGACCCTAGTTTTCATATCCCCTCAAACATGTTAATGTTACTTACTATAGTAAAGCTAGTGTTTGTCAGACCTTTCCATTCCTAACGGGTTGTAGGGTAGTATGTGAGGCTTTTACGTGTAGTGTTAGTTCATTCATCTCACTAGCTACTCTGTTTTTGATTTAGATCCTTGCCTAAACCTGTTGATATGGAGGTTCTTTTTGTAATCCAACTTGGGTTTGTGCATTTAATCTGATTGATTCTAAACGGTCGCCATGTGTGGTACAACCATCGTATTAGTGATATTAAAAGGAAACGTTAAGTTAGATATTAAAGTGTAAGTTGACAAGGTTGTCTGATTGCATTTGTTGCAATCTTGTAAGGGATATAATTTTAAAAATATTTAATACAAATACTGCTTTATGTTTACAGCATCAGTGTAACGCATTACTCTACCGTATCGCTTTCATTGGAAGATGGGAAAATACTTTGGCATCATCTAGTTGGTGATTTCGAAGATTCAAGAAAAGTAAGATAAATTTCTCCATAAACTTAGTGTAAATAATTTCTCAAGTGTCTGTTTTTCGGGTTATGTGCTGTTATCGTTAGATATTTGTAACTATTTTTCGATTTGCTCTCGTTGTAGTATTTAGCTTTTCGATCAAAATAGATTAAGTTATTTCTCTAAATAACAAGAAAATATTCCCCCTTATGTAAGGTGTTAAGGTCATTGTTGAATTCTGTAGTTTCACATCATATTCTGACTTCACTAGGATAACCGTTGAAAATAAGAGAGCTCCCGTTAGTCAGTACGTGATATAAAATCCCGACCGAAGCTGATACCTTGACGTGGTGGTCCGGCTTTCCTGTCGTGATGACCCAACAGAGCTACACCGGCTGGAACATATGTTCCTGAAGGTTTTACCATGCCAGGAAGGTCGATTGGAGAACGATGAAACTAAAACCAGATACTCAAGGTCTGAGGGTGAAGTCGTACTACTGACTGTAGAGGGGTGTGACAGCAGTAAGGTGTTTCCCTCAGACAACCAGCATCTACAGCGATGCTTCGTTCTCACAAGGAAGGAAGGGTTAGAAAAGGTCGACACTAAAAGTGTCACACCTCACCCTACCTCACGGATTTCAGTCTCCGTCGGTAAGGGTGCCCACTAAAGGTTTTCAAGAGCAGAGCTAATACTTAAAAAGGCCATGCGTGACCGTCCTCAAGCAGTTGTCCCTTGGGCTCTGCGATCACGCTTCCGGGTCGTTAAGGCCAACGCTAATCTACCTTCCTTTTCAAGTTCCTCAAGAAACAACCTTCCACGATGTGGGCAATTGGGAAGTGATATCAGCCCTCCTACCCGTAACAGCACACGAGACCAAATTAGTCAAAATTGAATCCTTCCTACACCCCCTAATACCTCTCTTCTCTCCACAACTAACTCTACTCACATTCCCGTACCTCACTGCACCGCTAATGCAAACGAAGCAAGTTCATGAAACGTCATTCCTGGTCTGATGAAACCCCGTTCTAGACTACATGTTGGGGCTTTTAATGTGCGGACATTGTGTCAAATAGGGCAACAGGCTTCCTTAGCTAGGACTCTAGAATCTCCCTCAATCGATGTATGCTGCTTCTCGGAAACGCACATACAGGATCCTAGTAAAGTCATTAATCTGATTTCGCCTTGTCAAAACAAAGAAGCAGCCCGATTTACTCTTCGTGTATCCGGTAGCCCCGGGTAAAGTTTAAATTAGTTTCAGTATTAAAAAATATAAAGGGTCAGAAGCGAAGACAGGATCTAGTGTACATTTTAAATGTGAAGTATTTTATATCAGTCAGTCAGTCAGTCAGTTGCAACGTAGAACTTCGTACGTACGTACATAAGTTCATGTTGCCATACCACATTAGCACAGAGACGCAAATGTCAAGTCAAAGCTAAGAATATATTTCAGGAACAACTAGAAAGAGAGTTAAGCAACGATGTAAGCGATTCCCATCCGGAAGCAGGTTTGAATGATATCAACAAGGCTGTGGAAACAGCAGTGATATCTGCTGGTCAGGTTGACCATAAGCCTAGAATGAAGCAATGGATCTCTGTAGCATCCATCGATCTAATGGATGCCCGAAAACGCACCCCACCTGGCTCTGAACATGATGAAGAACGAAGTCAGGTTAGTTGTTTTCCTGGACCTTAAGGCGGCATTTGACTCTGTGGATCGTGTGGTTCTGTTGCAGTGTCTATCATCAAAAGGTGTACCAAAGAAGTACATTAACCTCATACAAGCTCTCTACTCGAACACCACTGGTCGAGTGAGAACTTATGGCGAACTGTCACCGGAATTCTTTGCTTCAGGTGTTGTCCGTCTGGGCTGTCCACTCTCTCCATTCTTGTTTAACTTTGTCGTATACATCCTCTTAGAGTTAACATTAAGCTTGTCAGATTGGTCAGGGGTTGACCTTCTACCAGTAAAATCGCTTGCTGACTTAGAATATGCCAATGACATAGTTCTATTTGGTGAAGACGCTGACAGAATGCAGAGACTTCTGACTACCATAAGCAACAATGCGAGCATGTTCGGGATTCGGTTCCCCCCCGCCCGAAATGCGAAATGTTGCTTCAAGATTGGCTTGCGACGGCACCTGAACTAGTGATAGGGAGTGAAGTAGTTGAGCGTGTCGACCGCTTCACCTATCTCGACGTTCTCATCAGTGCCGATAGCATGGTTTGTGACGAAATCTCAGCACGGAGACAGAAAGCTCGATTGGCTTTTGCCAGCTTGCGTCACTTATGGCCAAGGCGAGATACCCGTTTGCTCATCAAAGAACGAGTGTACTGCGCAGTAGTTCGCTCCGTCTTACTTTATGGCTATGAAACATGGCCAGTGAGAGTAGAATATATTCGTAGGTTACTGGTTTTCGATCATAGGTATCTTCGAAGCATTGCTCGTATATCCTTGGACACCCGAGTAAGCAATGCTGTCGTTAGGAAACTAGTCCTAGGTAAGAATGGCAGATCAATAGATGAAGTAATGAAACTTCATCAGTTGAGGTGGTTGGGTCATGTGCTGCGTTTGCCTAACCACCGACTGCCTCGACATGCTTTGTTTTGCGATGTAGGAATGGGTTGGAAGAAAGTTAGGGGCGGCCAAACCAAAACATGGCAGAAATCCATGAAGTCATTGACGAGTGGACTTAGCCGTTTAGGTCGTTGTCGACTACTTGGTTGGGGTCCGCGATATGATAATAGCCGATGGTTAGAGACCCTGAATGACATGGCTCAAAACCGTTTGCAATGGCGCCGGTGCACTTATTCTTTGTGTTCTCTCAAATCCTAATCTTCTGGATTCGTTGGCACCTATACCTTTGTCTATCTAACCTTATCTCACTGAATCATACTTCTTGAATAATATCTTTAAACCCTAGTCTTCTTCATTACTAATAATACCTCTACTATCTTTATCACTATGGGATTTGATTTGACATTTGCGTCTCTGGGCTAAAGTGGTATGGCAACATGAACTTATGTACGTACGTACGAAGTTCTACGTTGCAACTGACTGACTGACTGATATAAAATACTTCACATTTAAAATGTATACTAGATCCTGTCTTCGCTTCTGACCCTTTATATTTTTTAATACTGAAACTAATTTCAACTTAGTATGCTGTTTATTTTAGTAATCTGTTTAGGATATTCCACATTTATGGTTTGTAAGAGGTTGTTTAAAATATGTATAATATATCTTTCAACTAAATTGACAAGATTCCACAACTTATTGAAGTAAACGTTACTTTTCAGTCTATTAATACTCTGTATTCTCCAGGATTTACATTTGTAATGCAAAGCTGTTTTACCACTTTGGAATAGGTTACCTATATTGAGGTAATAGCATTCTGATAGCGTCAGAGAGATGATTCGGCTACTTTCAAACAGGGAAGATGAAGTTAGTGATCTGAATATGGTTGAAATATTTGTTTTCACTCTTTTAGAATATTTCAAAATTTGTAATAAAATACAAAGTAGATATAATCCAATGACCTCTTTATAGGTCTGTTTATAAGACTATGAACATATGGTGCTTCAGTATGTAAACTGGAATAAGTAGAATCTATCTCGACTCAATCCACTTAGTCTACCACGGGTCTTGGTATCTATAAGGTTGCCCCATAGGATTAAACTGTACTGTTCAGGTCGTAGTGTAAAAGCCTAGACGATGTATAGTCCCCAATATAAACCCATATAAAATTATTCTCTTGCTGAGTATATCTATATAATTGTAGTCCATTGCTTATGAATGAATTTCTCGGAATATTAAACTGAAGATTAAATATTACTTAGAATGGCTATTCAACAATACTATCCAAATCCACAGTGTCTCAACCACCGCCATGTAATGTTTTCTTTCTGTGAATTGAAAATTAAAGGGGTGATTTTAATGAGTGAGTTGCATCATGGTTTAATATACTTTTTTTTCATCGTAGGCTTATGAAAATGATCTAATTCTAAAGAACTGGAAGTTAAGGATTTCAAAACACTATCGGTTCAATGCACATATTGATGAATCCCCGTGGACTCAATTTACTAGAAGTCTCTCACATATTTTGGTAAGTTTTATTATCATAATTCTATTACCAAAGTTTGTTATTCAATTTTGTTGACCATGAGTTCATTTTATTAGTTTTCAAAGAAGAAAATCTTGTTACAAAATGTTTCCTAAAATGCAAACACTATGGGATTTGATTTCCTTCCTTCCCTGGTCAATTCAAATTGTTTGTGTTCAGTTGTAATCAAAATTTTCTATCACTTTTAGGTGAGGCTATATAGGTGATTCCTTTATGCATCTATCAGCCTTTTCACTAAACAACCCTTGTGACCACTGTTTATCGTTAATTGTAGGATCTAATAATATATTTTACGTCGTTTGTTGAATAGTCAACCGATCGCAATTCTTTTTTATTATTTGCAGCCTATTCGTTGGTATGGTGTGGTTAGTTGTGGAATTCGCCTTGTTCATGCAAGGAAACACTCAGAATACTCCTTAGAAAATCCTGTACATATCCCAAATGCAATCGCTGTTATACATCCATTAGGTCTAGATCTTTTAGATTTAAAATCTGGGCGCCCGCTTATGTCTATTGCTTTGAAATGGAGTGAGTTAGTAGCTTATTAGTTATTTCTTGATATAATTGTTGCTCCGTAATCGTGTTTACTTATTTCTAAGCATAGACCTCATCACATAAATCGCTACCGTTAAATTATGGCAAATTCAGCTGAATAGCTGTAAATGCTACTTTGTTCGTTAGGTCTTGACAGTATATAGTATGTCAAGATGGATGATGTTATATAGAAAGAATCGTTTCGGTCAATGTTGCTAAGAAACTATTTTTGGGTTTGTTCAATTAGAATTTCCTAATGGTTACTTTCCAGATGAGACAAAAGACTAGATTTTGCCTATCAAGTCACTAGAAAGTCATAAAATGTTTTCCTAATGATATTTTATACTTGAACACTAGTATCGGCTTTTGTAGATCATCCATTGACGTATAAAAAATTAGTGTTAAACTTCACGTTTGTAAATTGATGGGATGTTAAACTGTAGGTAGTTAGAAAAATGGTTGGTGAAGGATATTTCTAGATAGTTTAATTTTCAAGCCTGTTACTTGCTTGCGACTGTTACACCTAATGGAGCATAGGCCACCGACAAGCATTCATCAACCCACTCTATCCTGGACCTTGCTTTCCAGTTCAGTCCAATTGGTGTGCATTCTTCTCATATCGTCCTCCATTTCTTGGCGTAATGTGTTCCTTGGTTTTCTTCTTTTCCTACAGCCTTGAGCATTTCAAGTAATACTACTGACTGTAGACAAGTGTGACAACAGTAAGGTGTTTCCCTCAGACAACCAGCATCTGCGGCGATGCTGCCTTCTCACAAGGAAGGAAGGGTTAAAAAAGGTCGATCCTAAAAGTTTCACACCTCACCCTACCTCACGGATTTCAGTCTCCGTCAGTAAGGGTGCCCACTAAAGGTTTTCAAGAGCAGAGCTAATACTTAAAAAGGCCATGCGTGACCGTCCTCAAGCAGTTGTCCCTTGGGCTCTGCGATCACGCTTCCGGGTCGTTAAGGCCAACGCTAATCTACCTTCCTTTTCAAGTTCCTCAAGAAACAACCTTCCACGATGTGGGCAATTGGGAAGTGATATCAGCCCTCCTACCCGTAACAGCACACGAGACCAAATTAGTCAAAATTGAATCCTTCCTACACCCCCTAATACCTCTCTTCTCTCCACAACTAACTCTACTCACATTCCCGTACCTCACTGCACCGCTAATGCAAACGAAGCAAGTTCATGAAACGTCATTCCTGGTCTGATGAAACCCCGTTCTAGACTACATGTTGGGGCTTTTAATGTGCGGACATTGTGTCAAATAGGGCAACAGGCTTCCTTAGCTAGGACTCTAGAATCTCCCTCAATCGATATATGCTGCGTCTCGGAAACGCACATACAGGATCCGAGTAGCATCATTCACTTGACCTCACCATGTCAAGATAAAGAAGCAACTGGATTTACCCTTCTTGTATCTGGTAGCGTTGATGCCGCTTCCAGGGGTCTCGCTTGTGTAGGTATAGCATTGAGTCGTAGGACAGAACTAGCGCACCTATACTGGATCCCAGTAGATAGTCGCTTGTGCGCTGTCCGACTGAACCGGACAGTAAGGACTCGGAAAGATAGGGACACTCGTCGTTGCCTATTCCTCATATTTGCCTATGCCCCCACTGACGGCAGTTCAGACGAGGTTAAAGATGAGTTTTACAGAAAGCTTTCGAACCTCCTCCAAAAAGCTAGGCGCTCTTATATAGTTATAATGGCTGGTGACTTCAATGCTCAAGTAGGTAGACTGAGTGAAAATGAAAGACATCTAGGTGGATGTTATGGTGTCGCGGCTCAAAGAACAGACAGTGGCAACCGTCTGTTGCCACTGTGCTCAGATAACCGCCTATACTTAGCAAACACTAACTTTAGGCATAAGGAAAAGCACCTCTTGACCTGGCGACCCCCGAAGTCGTCTCAACGTTGGACACAACTAGATCATATCGTCATCAGCCACCGATGGAGGGCTGTCGCTCGTTCTGGGGCACATGTTTAGATCCAGATCATGCCCTAGTGCGAGCTCGTATTTCTTTGAGGCTTACTGGACGTAGGAAAGACACCGTAAGAAAGCCACTTAGGGTCTTACTTAGTGATAATGAGGCTAAGAATATGTTATGGCGGGCACTTAAAGAAGATTGACTATTTTCTAGAACTGTTTTTTCTGCTTAAGATTCATTATTTTTGGTTGTATACAAAGTAAGCATTTTATTCCTATTATTGTGACGTTGCTCTTTTCCTATACTCTTGTTTGAGGCACTAACTGTTGTTATATCATTTCTCATTTATGAACTATAGTTAATTGACTGCTGTGCGTTACCCCAGTTCACACTCACTATTACTGTTGTATTGATGTCAGTTTTCTAGTTGGTTTACGATGCAGTCTGATTTTGCATGTATATAAAGGCATGATTGAAATAATAAAGAACGATCTGATCTGATCTGTCTGTCTGACTCATAAGTCGTTGTTTTTCCTCTATTCCGTGGGGCTGGTAATTGAGAGGCTGACGTGTCTGTACAGTGATTAGCGATCATCAAGGTCATTATATATATTGCACAAACACAATAAATTGGCGACGGTTTTTGAAGTGGATCCAACCTACGCAGTCATTGGTCATTAATTCTGCTACAACTTATTAGCCAATCAGCACTAAGGATCGCATTCAGTGTCATAAAGCGGATTAAAAAAAAATCAATATGACTGTCACATTTGAGCAAATGAAATTATGTCTACAGCAGCAACAACAGCAATTCCTAGCCTCTCAAGAACAAATGCTGGAGTCATTAATGTCAAAAATTGCTATCCAGTCCAGAGTAACTCCTGAAGAAAAAGGAATAGAGTTATCACTCAGTTCAGTTCCAGAATTTATTTTTGATGCAGAGAATGGCCATACATTTGAATCATGGTTCGGTAGAATCGAAGATCTTTTTCAAGTGGAATATAAACATATAAATGACGCGAAGAAGGTGCGTTTCTTAACACAAAAACTTGGTCAGCATGAATATTCTAAATACAAGAATTATATCCTCCCACGAAATCCAAGAGATCTGACATTTAGTGAAACTATTGACATTTTAAATACGATATTCTGTGAACCAGCATCTTTATTTCATATTCGTTATAAATGCCTTCAATTGACAAAAGATGCAGATGAGGATTATTTGTCTTATGCAAGCAGAATTAATCTACAAGCCGAACGTTTTAAATTAAACGCATTGTCAAATGATCAGTTTAAATGTTTATTATTTGTTTCTGGACTCCAGTCACCAGCAGATGCTGATGTTCGAACAAGATTGCTATCACGCATTGAGCAAAACGATGACATGACACTACAGATGGTAACGTCAGAATGTCAACGACTGGTCAACCTCAAAAATGATACGAAGCTTGTAGAGACCAAAGGTAATGCTTCACTAAATTGCAATATCCATGCTGTCAAATCCAACAAAAGTAAGAGTGTTCCAATGAATGATCAACGTCAAACTAAATTATTCAAACCGTCTTCGAAGTGCTGGTTTTGTGGATCTTGGCATTTCGCGAGATTTTGCCGTTATAAACGTCATAAGTGCAACATTTGCTATAAAGTTGGTCATAAAGAAACAGTCTGCCGACAACAGAATTATTTGAAATCTGGACGACGCATAAAGTTTCCCCGGAATCATAAGAGTTCCATACGTAGTATATATTCGACATTCACGTGTAATCTTGCTGACAAAAGAAGATATGTAGACCTATTAGTTAATGATGTTCAGATTCGTTTGCAGTTGGATACAGCATCTGATATCACACTTATTTCTAAGAAAACTTGGGAATTGATGGGTTGCCCCCCATTACTGCCTACTGAACATACAGCGCGTAATGCATCTGGAGATATTCTAAAACTCGTTGGGATGATAAATTGTGCTGTTAAATTCGGAGTACATTCTTTTACTGGAACTTGTTATTTAACAAACAGACATGATTTAGATCTTATTGGTATTGATTGGATTGACAAATTAAATCTTTGGAAGGTGCCACTAGACGCAGTGTGTACATTGAAAGATCCACATATTCCTGTATTAAATGTTACACATCAAACAACAACGTCTTGACTACAGCTCATCTTTTTGAAAAGCATTCGAATGTATTTCAAGATATTTTGGGATGTTGCAATATTGGTAAAGCCAAATTATATTTACGTCAAGGAGCTACACCAGTTTTTCGTCCAAAACGGCAGGTACCCTACGCCTCTATCGATAGAGTTGATAAAGAACTTGACCGATTAGAAAAGCTTGGGGTTATACAACCTATTACTTTCTCATCATGGGCAGCTCCGATTGTTGTTGTTCAAAAAGCTAACGGTACTGTTCGTTTATGTGCTGATTTCTCTACTGGATTAAATAATGCTCTGCAAAATCATTCATATCCATTGCCATTGCCCGAAGATCTATTCATTAAACTCAATGGTGGACGTTATTTTGCAAAACTGGATTTATCTGATGCCTATTTACAAGTAGAAGTTGATGATGATTCTAAGCCTTATCTAACAATATATACTCATCGTGGACTTTACCAGTACAACAGACTACCTTTTGTTGTAAAGCCAGCGCCTGCTATTTTCTAACAGTCAATGGACTTTATGATATCAAATCTTGATGGTGTTGCCGCTTTTCTTGATGATATTATTGTTGTGGGTTCCTCTAAAGATGGGTTATTATCGCATTTGGATAAAGTACATACACGAATATCACAATCTGGTTTCCAACTGCAGAAACATAAATGTGAATTTTTCCTTCAATCTGTTAAATACCTTGGATTTATATTTGATAAACATGGGCGCCGTCCAGATCCAGATAATATACATGCTATCACACAAATGCCTGCACCTACCGATGTGGTGACTTTAAGATCATTCTTAGGTATGATTGGATATTATAGTGTTTTTGTTCCATCTATGCAAAGGTTACGCCATCCCTTGAATCAACTTCTAAAAGCGAATGCAACATGGAATTGGTCAGAAGCA